TAACCATCAACTATTTATTTGGCCAACAATAATACAAATGAACAAAGTCAAAACCGGAAAAACAAAAACAAAACAACGGAAATTAATAAGAAATTGATTCATTGATTGGATGCGAGCCAATGAAAGAAAGAGAGAGAGAGAGAGAGAAAAAGAAACACAGAAATTCTTAATTAACTAAGCTGATTTCATTATTTTCATGTTCAACAATGGAAAAATATGGAATTTTATTTCCAAAATTAAGAATGAAAATATTTCACAGATAATTGAAAAAGTCTTGAAAATCTCTTTGGATCTTATTCTGATAAAACAATCCAATCGTATCATCATCATCATCACGATAAGATTGTCAACCATTCTATTCGATTAGCATTTTATCGGATTTCTTTTTTCTGTTGTCTCTCTCATCATCGGTTGAATGACAATGATAAGAGTTGTTGTTGTTGTCACACACACACACACACACACACCAGCCCAAACATACTGTCAAAATTGATTTTTTTCTTAATCGATTTTTCTCTTTTTCATTGGCCATTTCGTAGTTGTCGTTATCATTATTATGATCAGTTTATTCTTTTTCATAAGAATCATCAAGCATCGGATTCTGGACAAAAAAAGCTATCCATATTTGATGAAAAAATGCAATACAGAATCAACAGAATAGAATAAAACATCAAGACATCATTATCAGATCATCATGATGATGAATTTTGATGTTACACTTAATAAATACAAAATTGGAAAAATAAACAAACGAAAAAAATGGCACTTTATTTTCACTGGAGCAAGAAAAGATTTGTATTTTCATCATCATCGTTAAATAACAGATAATTTTCAGAAAAAAGTCTCTCTCTCCTGTTATTACGACAAGTTAAACAGAATTTTTCTACTTCATTTAGCATTATCAAACAAGCAATCTCATTTTAATTCGACAAAATTATCGATACTGCTGTTGTTGTTGTTGTTGTTGTTTGATTTTATATTTGTTTGTTTAGTTTCATTACGGAAAGAAAGGAAATCCGGAATAGGAAAAAAAATTCACAAGTACATCATATGGAATTTTGGATGGCAAACTAATCAATCAAATCTGATAAATGTTGTCTTATATCGTTTGTAATATGTATGATTAATCATTAATCAGTCTTCCAAAATAACGATTGATGGAAAAAAATCCAATCAATGAGTTAATCATTCATTCACTAACTAAGCGAAAATAAAAAGTCAAAGATAACGTTCGTTCGTTTGCAGTGGATCCATCCGGTGATCATCATTCAAGAAAATTGGTCTCTCGAATCAATATAATGTTTTCAATGCTGTAAACTAACAACTTGTAAATGATTGAGAAAAGAAAAATTGAAAATTCATGTTTACCACACACCATGTTCGGTACAGACAAAAGATTCGAAACAGATTCCATCAGAACTCATCAAATTCTTTGAAAATTCTTTAAAAGTATGTTGTGTTCCCATGTGATTCGTTTTCAGATTATTCCTATCTAATTTCGCATTGATTTTTTTTGTTTTGTTTTCATTCACACACAGTATAGAGACCAATCACAAAAAGTGGTGGAAAACGAAAAAATCAGATTCCCAATTTGATTACTAACGAAGTTTAAGTTTTTCAGTAAAGAAAAAAAAGAAACTCATACCAGAGAATTTTTTTTTTTTTTTTATTTTGAATATTTTACAACCTTGATGGAATCGAATCGAACGAAATCCATTTCATTCAACCCACACAGACACCCACATACAATTTTTGAAATTGACTCTTGATCGTGGAATTTGGATTTTTTTCTTCTACTTTTTCAACAATTTTGCCATTCAGTACACTTAAGTTTGAGTGAAATATAGACAAAAATAATTTCGGTCCATCATACCAGGAAATCATCAACATCATTTTTACACACATAGTGGAAAATTTGATGTGTGAAAAAGGAACAAAAAAAAACATTTCACGTTCCTTAACATCATAGATCTTGTGTTCAATAAGAATATTTTTCATTTCATCAGTTTCATTTTTTTTTCTCCATAAAAAATGGGGACAAAAAAAGTTTCGATTATCAGAGAATGGAGAATGAAGCAAAAAGAAAAAAAAAGTGAAAATTAAATTTCGATTTTCGTCAATCAATTCAATTCAATATAATGTAGAATGATACCGAACGCACGCACACATGCTGACAAATTTAAAAGCCATATGGATATAAGCAAAAGCCAAAAAAAAAATTGAGCATCATCATCATCATCTCATCAATGAAACCAGAAAAAAAAGTGGTAGAAAGCCAGGCATATATGACCATGATCTGGCATCATCATGATGAAAACGTTCATCATACACACATGATGATGATGATGATGATGATGAAAAAAAAATCCAAAGCCAAGTTTCCAAAAATAAATTTTTCATGTTCATTGAGTTTTTTGTTGTTGTTGTTGTTGTTGTTGTTTGAATGGAAAACTTCAAATTATTATTATTATTATTTTCAAGAATCAAATTGATGATCTACACATGTGGAAAATCAATTTTTTTTTCTTTAGCTTTCGACACAACTGACAATTGTGTGAGAATGAATGAATGAATGAATGAATGAAACCAGAACCAGAACCAGAAATTCATTGGGTGCCTAATAGAATAAAAGAAAAACCAAAACCAAAACAACAACAACAAAAAAATGAAATGAAATGAAAAACGTTGGTCACGACAATTGAATCACAGAATAATTGTATGCGTGTAGCACTTATTTTTCATTTATTTCAATATTCCAGATTCTTGTATAGTTCTTTCTCATTTCACAATGGCAAGCCAATACTACAACAACGCCCAAAAATAAAACGAAACACCGAAAAAAATCATCAAGGATAAATGTGAATAAAAAAAAAAAAAAAAAAAATAATCTCATTTGATTCATTTCAATTCAATTTGATTTCATATATATGTCAATTGTATTGTGTGTGTGGAACAATCACCACCACCACCACCATCATCATCGTCGACGACGACAACGTTTACGTTGAGAGATAACATAGAAAAAAAAATTCAAAAAAATTGAAACAGAATCCATTTGAATTGAAAAGAAAATAAAACTGAATAAAATGAAATTGAAGGATGATGATAAAGATACAAACAAACAAACGAAACGAAAAAAAGAGAGAAAAAAAACCAGAAAATGGAAAATGGACTCATTTCACAATGAAAATGAAAAAAAAACTGGCAAAAAAAGACGCATCCAGTGATAATGATAATGATAGCAGGAAAAGATTTTTTGTTGTTGTTGTTGTTATTCTCATTATTTATTTGTCTGTCTTGTTTCATTCTGTTCAGTCAGTATTTGAATTGAATTTTATATTTACATTTTTTTTTATTTACTTATTCTTTTTCTGGGTTGATATTTTTTTTCACATGGAATCTATTTTTCTAATCTTCATCATCATCATCATCATCATCATCATCATCAAAATGATGATGATAATCAACAAACAGAATGGAAAAAAGAGAATTTTATCATCTGATGTGCCATTGGAAAACTCGACTTTTTCAAGGACAAAAATATGAATTTTTTTTTTAGTTTCCATTGCCATCAGAAAAAAATGATTACAATATAATCAACAATAAGAATGTGGAAACACCCTAATCACCGATAGCTCATCGATCAATTTTAAATTAAAAAATGCCGTTAGATATTTGCTTACACGGATGGTTGAAATACGAAAAGAAAAAACTTTTAAAACTTACATTTTTGTACTGGATGATTCATTTTTGTCATTATTTTTTTTCATTCAAATAAAAATGATGATGATGATGATGATGATGATTATGCAGGTTAATCTTACTTGATAAAAAATTTTTTTCGCCAACAAAGAATCGTTGTATTTATCACAAATAAACACATGCACTAACAAGTAGAATCATTGAATGAATGAATGGCACTCCACCACACACACACACAAAGTTTCAATTGAAAATATTACAGACAAATGGTTGACAAAGGCAAAACAAAACAAAACAAAAAAAATTTTCCATTAAAACAACAACAACAACAACAACGACTTAATAATGTCGAAATTTTTTTTTTTTTTTTTTTGCTTTCTGCTTTAATGATGATGATGATGATGATATATATTATATCACTACTAATGAATTAAAAGTAAAAGAAAAATGAAACAATTAAAAAAAGAAGACGTTCACGCTATTTGGATTAAAATGAATGAAAAATGTTGGTACCACCACCTACACCATAATGATGATGATGATGTTGAAACAACTTCATCGTTATAATCACTTGTACGAATGAATTCCGTCGGAAAGAGAAAGGAATCTTATGCATGTGTTCATCCGTCGTCGTCGTCGCCGTCGTCTGAATCTATAAATGATAGCTGTATGTAGTGTTCGTTGTTGTTGTTGTTGTGGTGGTGGTGGTGGCATAATAATCATTTCATTACATTCGGGGTACGATATATAATGGACAAAAACAAAAAAAAATTTCTAAAATCCGCGCATCGTAATGTGCAATGATAATGGGAATCAATGAATGAATGTGAAGAACCTGGAGATATTATGATGATAGGCTGATGGTGGTGGTGATTTTCAAATGTATCAATGATATGGTATGATATCATTAATGTATGTGCGGGTGTGTGTGTGTGTGTGCAAATTTTCCAATGAATCGAACCAAACATTTGGTTTTTGAAATTTTTTTTTTCGAATTCAAGAATTTCACCACGCCATCTACCGGCTATAGTTTTATTTTTGGTCACATTTAATGATGAATATTGAAAAAATTAGAAAATGATTTTTTTTTATTCCCAGCAAAATGTGAAATTATTATTTACACAAATAGAATCAATTTTTTTTCTTGTAGTTGTTGTTTAGTTAATTTTGTAAAAGAGAGAGAGAGCAAAAAAAAATTTTAAAATTAGACTACCAACAGAAATTAGAAAATTCGTTGATTTTATAGGTGTTGATTGTAAAATTTTGTTTCAAAGAAAATGATGATCATGAGCTTGATGGAAAATGGTAAATAAATTTTAATTTACAAAAAAAAAAAATTCTGAACATCGAATAGAGTTGAAAAGGAATTGTACTAAATTCAATTCTGTAATAGATATAATTATGTGTGATGAATGAGTGTGTGTGTATTTCTATGAAGTATTGGATAATTGTTGAAAAATATGAAAATGAGAAAATAAAAGTAATGCTATGGCATTTACTAAATTGGAAATTATTAATAAAGGATGATCAGAAATTATGATGATGATGATGAAATGTGTGTTTGATGGTTATGTGCACAGTAAATCAATCAGTACCATTCATATCATTATCATTGTTATCATCATCACCTTCATCATCAATCTCAGGAACAGAAGCAATAGGATCATCGTCATCATCAACATCATCATCATCAATAATCGATGTATCTATCAATGATGATTGATTCATTGTTGTATTACAAGATTCGAATAATTGTAAAACTTTTTGTACTCTTTCTTTTCCTTTTTGTGTCATTATATCCTAGGATAAGATAAAATATAATTTAATTTTAAATAAATAATCAATTCAAACAAAAAAACAACTTACGGTTAGATGGGCAAAATCTCGTAGTTTTTTCAATTGTTCAATCAACGGTTTAAATGAATGATCGGGTAATATATCGTATAATAATTTCCTGTGTTGATTATTTTCTTGTATACAACAGCCAAGCAATAGACAAACACATGCTGATAATAGACTGTATTCCATGTGCGTACCAGATTTACTAATCACTATTATCAGAAAGAATCATGAATGAAAAAAAATCAGATTCAGATTCATATTCAAATTCAATTCATTCACTTACTTTGCATCAAAAGATTATCTTGCATTGCTTCAGTCATCTGTACAGTTTCATGTGATTCCAATAAATGATCGGTTTGCTGTTCAACTTGTGCAGCTTCTTCAATCTTTTTGAATAATAAATCGCATAATTTTCCAAGATAATTTCTTGTTTCAGATGTCATTATTATATCTCTTATGTGTTCACAAAATGCAGCCAAATTAATACAAAGACAAATAATAATGACCATCAAATCGAAACGTTGATCCGACATAATGAATGATGGTAACTCGAATAATGATTCTAATAATAATTGTATGATACCATCGAATTTACCGACAATTTTACAACCATCAACTATTGAATTCAAAATAAAATTATTCAGTTATTCATATGAATATATCGTTGAAAATAAAATCCACACTTACCACTTTCCGAAGTAAGATTAGTCAATACCCGGAGAATGGAGAAAAATGCCGATAAATATACTTTTGATTCATTCGATTCGATAATCCTTTGTTTAAATTGAATCAACAAATCAATACAAGTGGATATGAATTTACTTTCATCATAATTGGCAATATAAAGCTGATTTTCTATATTGTTGAATGTAACCTAAATGCAAAAAAAATTAAATTCAATCTCAATGAATGAAACAACATTGGACTTACATTTTCTAATACATGCATACAACGATCAATTTTCACTATTTGTCCTTCTTCCGTATGTCGTTCGGCACATCGTATGACAGTGTTGACAATAAAATCAATACCTTTCATACGACGTAATTCAACTTTGAACCAATCACCAGCACGTTTCGATGTAAGGCCCAACAATGTTTCCATTGCCAATTTACCAGCCTAAATTATAGGAAAATGTTTTTATAAATGACAATTTTGAATTAAAAGAAATTCTTTACCGTTATTTCAGCCAATTTTAGATATTGAGCATGACCTTTGTTTTTCATTTCTTCAACTAATGATCGTACTTTACAACGATGTTTCTCTTCAACCTGATTACATTCATCGGATCGGGTTTCCAATAATTCCAACATTAATGATAATGCATTTGGATCAATATCCATTGTTAATCGATCTTGATTATATACAAACATTAAACATGCTGTACATAGAGCAAGATTCGAATCTTGTGGTGCATCCATTAATGCTTTAATAATTCTTGGCATATCATCATGTGCACGTAAATGCATTCGAAATTCTGGTCGCATTGTTTGTTGTGTTAGACCTAGAATACTGTAAAACAATGGATAAAGTTATTTTTCCTGATAAAATCGACAATAAAATAATTACCTAAGACAACGCATTGAATTTGGATTCGTTGATACAATTCCACTAAGATAGTATTTAATGTCTTCATCGAATTGTTCCGTCTCTCCCAATTCATGACATTGATGCGCTTTTTTAATTCGTTTTAATTTAATATAAGAATCATCATTATCATCATTATCGGTTGGTTTCTTTTCCTGTTCGGTTGTTGCTGCTGTTTTATTGATTTCATCATCGAATTCATCTTTTAATTCAGAACTGAAGAATTTTTTTGCATCAAATTGAATTTTATTACGATGTTCACGATTTGAAAAGATTTTCTTTTTAGGTGGTCTAGCAACAACGACTGGTGCTGGTGCTATTTGATGTTGATGTTCATCATTTGGTTTTGTTTCGACAGTCATTGTCGTAATTGATGATGATGATGATGATGATGGTTGTGATTGATCATTTTGTTGTTGTGAATCGGTTAAATCAATATTTATTGTTTCAATTGTCTCCGGAATTTGGTCATTGGATTTTTGACTATCCTGACTATTTTGGCTATTCGTTTCGGTTTGTATATCATCATTCTTTTCATTGGATTTAAATGAATCAGATTTTTCTTTTTCTTTGATTTGAGTGTAGTCATCAGATTCGGCAGACACAATCGGTGTTGGTGATGATGGAACAATTTTAGCATCACCAGAATTCTGATCATTTTTCTCGCCATTGATAATAGTTTCAGATTGATCTTTCAGAATAGATTCATCAGTAACTTGGGGAGATTCGTCTAATTTATTTAATTGTTCTTCTGGTTGTTGTTGTTGTTCAACAACAGATTCTTGAAGTTGATTTTCATCATCATCATCATCATCATCTTCAATTATCTCCTCAATCGTTGTAGTAAGATTTGGTGATTTTTTCTCATAAACAAAATGTATACTTGATGATGATCTTTGAGAATTATTCACTTGTTCCGGTTCGATTCCTTTTAATCGTCGTGATGAACGAATACCACGACTGGCTTCTGATGATAATAATGTTTGTACAGTATGAGTAGTTTGTAATGGTTTAACCGTTGCATTTCGTACATTTGAATTATTAATACGTATATGAAATTCGGTCACTTTGTTTGGTGATATAACCTTTTTAATTGTTTTATCGCCACAAATTTTTATCTCACACGATTTACTATTATCGGTTATGTTGATTGATTTTGTTTGAATCGAATTATTATTATTACTATTTTTATTTTTATTATTATTATGAGTAGTAGTCGCTTTAATTCGTCCACTATATGTTGTTATCCTTTGTTGTTTTTGATTGGAAAAATTATTCAATACAATCGATGGTGAACGATTTGTTGATGATGTTGTTGTTGTTGTTGATGATGATGATGATGATAACCGTGAACTATTCGATGATGAATTATTCGATTGTTGTCCGGTAGTCATCGATGATTGTGATGATGATGTATTGGCCGCCGCAGTTGTTGCCGATGAACGTGATTTGAAAAATTTATAAACTTTAGGTTTTGTTTCGGCAACTTTGTTTTCATTTGAACCATCACCGACATTGGTATTCGTACCATCACGAATCGATGTTGCGGATTTTCGATCCATTTTCATCATTATCAAATCATCCACCGGATCATGATGTTCATATTTAGTTTTTTTCAACGGAACAAAATTACCATTTTCATTATGATCCTGTTGTCGATGACGAACCGATGTAAATGTTGCTTGACCAAATTTTGTTACACTAACGGCAGCCGCTGTTGTTGATGATGATCCAAATGATGATGATTTTGTTATTGAGGATGCCGCCGCCGCCGCAGCCGTTGATGATGATGAATGATGTGTTTTACTACGAGATTTCATTTTCGTGATATTAAATAAATCTTAAAACAATCAATGATGAAAAACAATATATTTTATGAATAAAAACTTTCAAAACTTTATGATGATCATCATTTTATACAATGTTCATCATCATCATCATTTATTATCATGAACATCCGATTCTAATGGTTAATATCGATGATCATGAGCAGCAGCAGCAGCAACTGTATCAACAACTTTTTTTTTCTATTTCTTGCTGCTCGCGGTCTTTATATATTCACTCTATCAATCAACTCTCAACAACACAAATCATTGAGGCAAAAAAGGAGCGCTTTGCTGAGCGGCCATAATCGGGTCTCTTTTTTTTCATAGTATGGCCGAAAATGTTCAGATGGTGCCACAATCGTTATCAAAAAAAAAAAAAATTTTCGTTTTGAAAAGATGAAAAAAAATTTAATTTTTCATAAAAAAAAATCAATAATTGCAAACAAACAAAAAAAAATTTCAGAATAAACATTGTTATCATCATCATTGAGAAGGATTCATTGAAGAGGATAAATATTTTTGTTTCATTTGCAGAATTTGTAACATTTCGGATAATGATTTTTCATAGCTTGTTCGTACATTTGTTCGTACAGAATCGATAACGGTATCGGAAATCTAATTTTTGAGAAAAAAAAATAAAATTAAAATTACTAATTAAAATAATGAATACATTAATAAGTGAGAATAATTTACATTGAATTTTTCTGAAAATTTATATTCATATGAATCGACCATTGGTATGATTTCCACTTCTTGTATAATGGTTATAATTGATTTAAAATAGCCATCAATATTCATATGCATCGATGTAATGGCCATTGCAAATGTATTGGAAAATTGTTCAACATCTTGAAATTTTTTCACATCCAATCGTTTTTTTAATTTTTTCATCATTTTATTCAATCGTCGTTGACCATCGATGATTAATGAAAACAATGATACGGCAATATTTAACACATCTATCCATACGCTTATTCGACCGAATAATTTATATGCACCTTTCATTGTTTGATTACATTTCCATTCATCGATAACAGTGTCAATTTCTTTAGACAATTTGTTGAACAAATTTTCATCATGAATCGGAGAATTTTTTTCATTATAATCAAATGATCCAGAATTGAATCGAAACATCTGGAGTAATCCATTCGAAAAATGTTGAATAAGTTGTGGAAATTGGCTGGCAAAAAATGTTATCAATCTTGATGGCTGTGGACCTTCGATACAATACTGGAGTAAATGAAAAAATTTTAAATGATTAAAAACAAATTATCATCATAAAAACATACTTTTAAATCATGTTGAATTTCAGCCATACAATATTCATATTGTTTTGCAGAATTTTCAAGTAAATTTTCAAACATTTCAACATTCAGATGATCAAAATCCGTTTGATTATCATCATCATCATGATTAACGTGATTTGTTATTTCACTCGATTCTTTATTAGTATTATTATTCATTAGTACACAATCATCGGACCATAATTTTTTCGAAAGAAAATGTCCAAGTGCAATCATTTTCAATACATTATATCGATACAATAACCATTGTTTTTCCTGTTCAAGTGTTGTTTTTTTCAATACATTTTCCACATATAAATCCATCTGATAATGATATGGATTTAGAATTTTTAAATCACGATTATCACAAATTTTCATGATATCAATAACAAAATCTTTGGAACGAAAAATTTCCAAAAAAAGAATATAAGCAAATTGACTAAAAGAATTTTCACTAGAAAAGAAAAAAATTTAAACATTGAGATTTGATAATTTAAAACTGAACAACAACAACAAAAATTCTTGAAACCACCACCACATACCTTTTACAATCTAAAAGTAAATCATTGAAAAATCTTTCCACAAACGTTAAATGATAACAGATTGAATTCTTTAATTTTGAATTGAAATTTAAAATCTCTTCAATCTTGGCAAAGCAACCATTTTTATAGCATGTAAGTATCGAATCAGATGCCTAAGTGTGATTGAAATTTAAATTAAATTAAAAAAAAACAAAACAAATAATGAAACAAAAAACATTACCTCTTTAAAATTATAACTATAAAATTTGTAACTAGAATTAAGAAATTGTTGAGCCTTTTGAAACAATGCACAATGTAATGATGATGGAAAAAAATGATAACCAAGTGTTTCATTCTGAATCAATTTAATTTCCATTAATTCATATAAATTAAGACTAGAAAAGGCAGCACCGATTGCATTATAAAGGCATACCAATATTAATTTGGCATAAAAATCATTTCGATTTTGTAATAAATATGATTCAATAATAATAATTAAATCAAATATTGTTTGACTTAAACATTGATGATGATCATCATCATCAATGTTCGTTTGATAAATATCGGTATTGGCCAATGTTTTCAATACAATCAAATAGATTAATGATGAATTATTGGTAAAATGTTGTTGTTCATAGTTATTATTGATGAAATTATCAACATCACGACGACGATCATTAATATTTTCAATGAATTTTTCTTGACAATAATGTTCAATATAATTATAACATAAGCTCATGTTTAAATTCTTATCCGACACAAGATGATGATGATCATCATCATTAAGTTTTGTTACCAGAAATTTCATTCGCATCAATAGTTCGTTAATTTTATTTCGTTCCATTTTGATATTTTTCAGAATGAATATTAAATCTTTGATGCATACATATTTGGAACCAAAATTTTCAAAATATTCTACACATAAATCAATAGGATTGATCAATGGATTTTCTTGAATATAATGTTGAAACAATGGATGATTATCTTGGTTATCATTCAAAAGTTTACTGAATATAATAATTCTTGCTATAAATGGACTACGTGGACAACGTTCAGTGACCATTTTATGTAATGAATCATTCGATTGTTGTTTATCTTCATCATACATTTTCCATACACTAGTTTTACCTTCAATACACATCTGTTGCATTAATTTCAATAAACGAACCATATGTAATGATTCTGTATTCGAATTCGAATCACGTTGTTGATCATCCAATTGTAAGGCCAATGTAAATGCATCAATATAATATTCATATTGATCATTATTATCGTTTATTAAACGTTCATAACAATCAAAACATTCAATTAAACGTGATTCATTTCGTAATAATTTCGCTTTCTGTTCTAGTTGATAATTAAAATGATCAGTAGATTTTTTATTAATTTTTCGTTTCATTTCTCGTTCTTCCATTATGGTGATCATTCTTGAATAATTTTTCTGCGCTTCCAACACCATAAGATAAAGGTCATATTCTGAATCGGATTCAAAACGATTTTCTTTATAGAATTTTTCACACATTTTTTCTGCCAATGGTAAAATAATCTTATTGGCCATTGTTTCATCATCAGCTGACATAGCTTGCATGTAGATACTCATTATTGCCCAAAAATAATAAGGATTTTTTTGATGCACTTTATATAGATTCAATGCGGTTATTTGTTGTTTTTTATAATCATTCATTCGTACATATGACATGAATAGATGAGCAAAAAGTTTTTCATTTGTTGAATCTTTTTTCAATGCATTCTCATATAATGTTGTTATCAAATCATTTCGTTGTATTTCACGATAACACATTGACATTGTCTGCAATATCATTTCATCGGCCGGCATTTCAGCATGTAATTCATTAAGAATTTCCATTGATTCTTTTCTACGATGAAGCCGAACTAATGTTAATGATTTTAATGCACGTACATATTGTTGATTACGATTTTTCTTTAATAATTTATCAATTTCTTGTAATGCTTTTTTATAGCTACCATTATCAAGATATTCAAACACTGGACGAAGTTTTCGATCATTTTCTGCTGGTTGTTGTTGTGGTTGATATTGTTTGACATTTTTATAATTATGAAAATAAAATGGTAAAAAATAATTGAATTTTTTAAAAAATTTATTCACTGCATTTATTTGGACAGGTAAAATGGAAGTGAAAAAAAATTTGAATAAAACAATGCAGGATCAAATCACAAAGATGTTATATAAAGCATGCAAACAAAACATGCGACAACAGAAATGATCCGGCCGAGACTGAGAGGAAAGTAAGCAGGGTAAACTGCAAGAATGAGTGTTAAAAACCCTCCATTTATGCAGTATACAATCCATGCTCACAGTCTACGCTTCTTATTATTAGGTTACGCTGCTTATTTGCAATGTAAACTGCATACTTGCAGGTTATTTAGCAGGCTAAACTGCAAAGTTACATATTAACCTCCATGAAAGAATGGTAAACACGCTTTCTTATTGAAGGTTAACCTCCGATTTTGAATTTCATTCAGTTTTTTCGATGTTATTCTTCATTTTTTTCATGCTTTTAGTCAAAACTCTGAAGATGTAAAATTATCTTCACGAAATTCACATATTCGTATTGCAACTTGACTTATTTATTTATTGACTGTCATCTCGACTTGCCAATTTGAACTCGGCCACTTGTTGACATGTTTGATTCTTGACATCCACTTTGACTTGGCCACTGTTGACTTATTCACTCGATTTTGATTTTTGTTCCTATCGATTTTTTAAAATGTTCATCTCTGTCTTGAAATGTTCAATCAATGAATCATAATTATTGACTGACGATCAAGTTCAATCTTTGCCACATTCATCCGTCACACACATTGGCTACATAAAAATCAATCATTTCGATGGATTCGAATTCTCATCGCTCTGATCAAAAGATCTGGATATTCAGATGAATCTTTCAATTAATGGTAAATTTCTTTATTTCAACGTGACTTATTCTAATTCTCATTCACATTCTAATTTCAGATCGTAACTTGGGAATAATGAAAATCATAGATGAACACAACATTCTGGATGAATGGTAAATGATTGAATTTTCATCAACTCATATTCTAATTACCATTCCTTTTGTTAGACATTAACAAGTGCACGATCGCCGAATGATCAATCAGTAAAAGTCAATCTGGCCATCTCAACTTTTCGTCATCATCATCATTTACGAGAATATGGATAACCGAGTAAAGACCCTTGAAATAAATGTAAATTATTCAATTTTTATCAATTATTTATCAATTTTTACTAATTATCTTTCCCATTCACAGGCATCCATTGGATTATCCAAATTCTCTGGATTCATTTTATAATTTATCTCAAAAATTCGACCTTTTCATCAATTTGTGGCTTTTAATTTGAATTTGTATTTTTTATTTTATCTTATAATAATTTTTTAATTTCTGGATTTATTCAGAAAATCAATAAAACAATCAAAAAAAATCTGGATACTATCGATTATCATGATACTCACGTGATTTGTTTAAACTAAAAACAATCGAAAAAAATCGGGATACTATCGAATAAATCGTTCACCACCCGATTTTTGCTACAGCTCATGGTTCATTTCTATGCTTCCAACATTGTTACTTTGGCTGTACAAATTTTCTCTCATTTTTTCGTAACTATTTTCTATGCTTCTTCTTCAGTCCTCACTTCTGAGAGTGTTTACAGTATTTACAATATTTACAGTAAAACCCCGCTTAACGCGGGGTTACGTTCCAAAAATATTGAGCGTAAAGCGAAACAACAGCGCAAAGTGGGGTTATTTTTGCATAATTTACATAATGAATTTTTACTCTTCATATACAATCTAACAATGTATTGCAATGTAATGTAATTGCACAGCGTTATATCGAAACAGCGCTAATCGGGGCAGCATTAAGCGAATTATTTCTGTAATGTCGTAAAATATGATTATTATATACGACCATAATTACGTTCTATATTATGGGGGAGGATAATGGTTTGGGGGAAAATTACCCCATCATTTATAAATTTGCCTCCCCCATTTACACACATTAACACATATACACGCATATACACATTCGACGTCGGTTCAAATCCCATCGCGGCCGCCTGGGTTAATATAAAAAATAGTCAGTGTTGGGGGTGGATAGTGGTTTGCGCATAATCACTTATAAATTTGCCTCCCCCTCACTTATAAAATCTATTTGTTGGGGAGGATAGTGGACAATCACTTATAAATTTGCCCCCCAATTATTCATATACACATACACACTTGCGCATAAAGTAATTTAAAAAGTAGTCAGTGTTGGGGGTGGATAGTGGTTTGCGCATAATCACTTATAAATTTGCCTCCCCCTCACTTATAAAACCTATTTGTTGGGGAGGATAGTGGACAATCACTTATAAATTTGCCCCCCAATTATCAAATACACATTTACACTTGCGCATAATGTAATTTAAAAAATAGTCAGTGTTGGGGGTGGATAGTGGTTTGCGCATAATCACTTATAAATTTGCCTCCCCCTCACTTATAAAACCTATTTGTTGGGGAGGATAGTGATTCGGAGCGCATTGTCCGATCATTTATAAATTTGCCCCCCAATTATCAAATACACATTTACACATTACACATAAATTAATTTAAAAAATAGTCAGTGTTGGGGGTGGATAGTGGACAATCACTTATAAATTGGCCTCCCCCTTGCTTATAAAATCTATTTGTTGGGGAGGATAGTGATTCGGAGCATAATTGCTGATCATTTATAAAGTTGCCCCCCAATTATTTATTATTTATTAAACAAATTAATCTCGAATATCAAAATATGACTTTATTGATCGAACGACAAAAACGAATTTAAAATTACAACTATCATTTAAATCACACAACACTTCATGTGTTGACTTTTTCTACTCGCTGTCTTTGTGCAAATCATGAAATTCTCAACCATATCGAGTTATGATGATTATTTGGTACTGACTTTGTTTCATCACAAATGTTAACCAATATTTCGGGTTTGTCTCATTTTATGATATTTCACTAACTTTCAATTTCTAGTACAATTGTTTCAATTTATTTTCTTTTTTTTGTATATGAACGGTCCCTTCATTACAGGGTAAACTGCAAAATTGAATTTTTGTTAACCTTGCAGTGTACACCGCAGACTTTCGTCTCTGTGATGCAGTGATTTTATAACACACAAACGCACAAGGCTGGATATATTCGTAAACAACATGACATGGTTAAATTTTTAATTTGAAAAAATTTTTTTTTTATTTCAAACTTTTTTTTGTTCACAATAACAATCAGGACTGACCACCATTCCATTCAGAATGGATTGAACATAAATGTTTGTAAGCTCGTTGGCTAATATTTAATGCTGGATAAATTGATTGAACATCCATTTCGGTATTGATTCGATTATAAACTCGTAGTGATAATGCAGCCAGTCCAAAATATGTATGTAAAACATCTATGAAATGAATATAAAGTTATTTCGATATTTAATTGATGATGATATATTGTAAAGAAATTACCTGATGATGTATCGGGATATTTTCCAAATCCACCGCCATCATAATCGAATGTTGTTGATAAGAATTCGGAATGCAATTGATCATCAATAAATTGAAATGAATTCAACATTGTAAGTGTAGCACCGACCCAAAATGAATAACATGTATCCGGATCTTTATGTGGTCGACCCTGAAATCCAGTCACTTGACGATGTAGACACCATTCGGCAATCAATTGACGTTTTCGTTGATCATAAACATCATTCAATTGGCCCATCAATTCAAGAGAAGCAATAGCACAGAATGTTGAACCAGCATGTGCTTCAGCACCAATCGTTTGTCCAAATGCATTTTCATAATTCTGACACGATTTTATATGAGCAATAATTGTATCACGATTAACTGATGACCAATCTTGAAGAATATAACAGACGGCAACAGCACAATATACTATTCGTATATCGGATTCTTCTTCAATCAATGATTGAATAAATCTATGTTTTATAAGATAATAATTCTCAATTAATTCATCTATTTGAGATATATACACACCATAGAAATTCAAAAATTACCTTCCATCATTTTGTTGATGATGACGAATACCACTAATAATTGCATTACGATTAACACGATCAAGTTGATCACCAAGAATAATCAATGAAATTAAGGCACAATAAGTTAAAGAAAGATTAGAATAATCATATTTATATTCTGTACGTCCAATAGCTGATCGATGACAAGTGAAACCAAATTTTCCATCACTAATATCGGAATCATTTTCTGGATGTAATTGATGTTCATATATGGAATCGATTATTTCACATTTTTTGTATCACTTAATTCATCCAAACTATTGATTAAATCCAGACCAGATATGAGAAAAAATATCAACATTAAACTATATAAATAAAATATTTGTAAAATGGAAAAATAATCAATCAATCAATGAATTTATTAATCAAAAAAAATTATGATGATCATTTTACCGGTTATTATCATCGATTGAAAATATTTTATCAAATTTTTTAATCATATATTTTATCAACAATTCTCGTTTTCTTTCATCAATTTTTATAGTCATTGTGGTGTTATATATCGTCTCTAGACCACTTTAGAATAATTTTTTTTCACAGAATAAAATCTTAAATCAATCAAACAAACATTAAAATTATAATACAAATGAAATAAATGCTTTGGAATTTTTTTTTTGTTCTTGTTTGCAAGAATTGTGGCTATTTATACAGACATGGGTAAAATTTGGGCGCTGTCTCGAAAAGAGCGCGCGCCAAGTTTCAAGAAAAATTTTTTTGTTTGTTTTATTTAAGATTTTTTCTTTCGATTTTCATTATTCTTTTTTGTTTGTTCATCATTTATGGAATTGGTTTCATTATCGATGAAATCCATGTCCCAAAAACGTGGTGGTGAACGATATGCAGAACGATAGCCACGATGTTTAGCACAATCATCCAATAATGAATGCAATTTAGTCACTGATAATTGTCTTGATCCATAATAATTTTGGCAATTATGACACAATAATCTAAACAAACCATCACATTGATAATCACGTTCGATAATCGGTTGAACATTTTGTTCGCCTTCTGTTTGTTTTATTTTGGCTGATTTTTTATCTTTGAAAACTTTTAATTTGATTTCACCAGTATCATTATCATCATCATCATGTTGATTGAAAAAATCATCTCGGCTACTTTTTGGTTGAATATTTTCATTTGTCGTTACTGCTGATGATATTGGACATTTATCACCAGTGGAAGAAGATGAAGTAGAATCTAAAGAATCATCATCCATAATTATGGTTTCATTAATTATATTTGACGAATTTTCCAACAAAGTTGTTTCATTGAATTGTGATTGATTTGGATCTATGGTTTTATCCGCCAAGATAGTTGGTGCATCATAATCATCGTCATCATCAATACTATGGTAATCAAGTATTGATTCATTTGCACTAACTAAAGGGCGTGAAATCGACTCATTATGATTAAAGTCATTATGATTCATTTGATTTGATGAGATGGAGCTGAGTATTTGTTCGCTTTCAATCGAATCGCTACTATTCGATTCCGATAAATGATTCGATTCATTTGAAAAAAATGAATTCTCAGCCAACATTTGTGGAGATTGAATAATTGTTTCATTTGTTTTGAGAAGATTTTCAGAGATAGATTCATCTTGTCTTGTAGATGTTGAGTGGTGGTCCATTTTATCAAAATTTGACATCAAAACAGCCAACGTATTCTTCACTTTTTTCATATTTTTCGTTACAGACATTGAGCATACATTGTTTACAGATTTTATAAAAGATTTTTCTGATTCAATTTTCTTTTTGGCTTGTTTAAAATCTTTGAATTTCATTCGACCAAATGTGCTGCTTTTCATTCGAATTCTATTGCGTTTATCTATAATTTTTCCAGGTTGATCAATCACTATAATATCCGATGGAAGACCAGGATGGTCTGATACATTTGTGAATAAAGAATTTTTCATTTCTTGTTGTTTTGATACAAAACAATCACGGATGGAATAATTATCATTATTCATATCGACAGTCATTGGTGATTCAGGTATTTCAATTACATCTTGTTCATCTTCAAGTGAATCATCTTCATAGTTCTCATGATCGTTGATTAAATCCATTTTTCAAGTTCAAGTTTTTTCGAATTCGAAATGAAATGTTGCTGCCACTAAATATGCATTATTATTCAATGATGATCAAAACAAACGAATCGATAAAATAGAAAGAAATGTTCCGAAAATAAAGTAAAGAAATCTTTCTCGGGCAAAGTGTTTTGCTTGTTTTCTGCCACGAGTTTTCATCATCAACACATTTATTATTTTTAAATTAATCAAATTTCAATCAACAAAATAAAATGGCACAAGGAAAATTAAAGGTCAAAACAAAATTGCCTGGCAATATTAAAAAAGCCTCTGTACATCGTGGTGTACAGAAAAAGAAATCAAAAGGTATGATGGTTCGATTTGTATTCAAGTTTAAATCTCATCTTATCAAATCAATATTTTTTTTCCAAAACAACAGTTCCAAATAAAAAACCTAAACCGATTACACAGGGACAAAAACTTCAACATGAAGTGACCAAAGAAATAAACAAAACAATTGAAGCTGAAGCTCGAGGAATGGCACAGAAATTTGGCGAACCATCCACAAAAATTGATCGAAATGCATTGAAATCATCATAATCGTTGATTATTATCGTTGTTTTTCATTATTTTTTTTTGTAAATAAAATTTGTCATTGTCAAATTAATTGAATAAAATTCTATTCGTTGTCTAATTTATTTTATGAATTTTATCTGAAAGAATTCCATTCAAAATCAGTCGAATCAGTTTCATGATCCTGATACGGCAGGTGGATTCTATTTTGCATAGCTATTCGAATCGAAATAGATGACCCACGTGCCCAAAAAATTATTGATATAACACGCGCTTGTTTTCAATTCGATTGTAAACAAACAATCCGTTTCAGGAACAATGTCACGAATATTCATTGAAAATTTGCCTAAAAATGTAATTTATTATTATTCCTAATTTAATAATTTTAATCAATATTTTTTTTTGTTTTCAATCTTTATAGATTACCCAAGAGGTATTGCAACAAAAATTTGCCGAAAAAGGTGAAATAACCGATATTCAACTACGGCAAGATAAAAGAAATGCATTCATTGGTTACAAACAATCAGAACAGGCACAGAATGCAGTGGATTATTTCAATCGAACATTTATTCATACTTCTAAAATAACAGTGAAAATTGTTGATAATTATCGTTTGAATAAAAAAGTAGAAAAATTGCCAACAATTAGTGATGAAAAATCATTTGACGATGAAACAAAGAAAAAGAAACGAAAAAAAATCGATCCATTCGAAGAAGTTCGAAATGATCCTGAATTTGAAGATTTTCTTCGTCTACAACGAAACATTGATACGAATAACAAAAGTAAAGAAATCTGGAAAGATGATGTTATCGCTAATGTTCACGGTGATGATGATGATGATGACGATGATGTCGGTCAAGACGAAATTGACGAAGATAATCACGATAAAACGGTTGAAAAACGTATAAAAAAGACATTCGATTTTACTGTGAAAATTCGTGGCCTACCATACAAGATAAAAAAATCACAATTAAAAGAATTTCTTAAACCAATCAAACCGATGAGCATGAGATTTGTACCACATGTAAAAGGAATTGCATATGTATCATTTAAAAATGCTTTAGATCTACAACAAGCTATGATTAAACATCGTGGTTTCATCGATGGTCATCGAATTGAGATAACTAAAATGGAGAAACAAAAACAAAACAAAGCCGATAATATAATGGAAGAAAATGGTAAAAAATTTGACAAACAAAATAATGACGAACAACAAGAAAAAGAACAGCCCGAACCTATAAGTGAATCTGGTAGAATTTTTATTCGAAATCTATCCTATACATGTATGGAAGATGATCTACGACAATTGTTTGAAAAATTCGGCACAATTACCGAACTTCATATGCCTATTGATTCGTATACAAAAAAACCAAAAGGTTTTGCTTTTGTAACATACATGTTTCCTGAACATGCCATACTAGCATTTAATCAATTGGATAAAACCGATTTTCAAGGTCGTCTTATACATTTATTACCTGCACATATGAAAAATGAATCCACTTATAATGGTCCACCACCACCATCGGATGATGAAATGAATGATGATAATGATGAACAACAACGAAAAAAATCTTCAACATTTAAACAAGCCAAAAATGAAGAAAATCGTCAAGATGCACAGAATAAAACACGTTGGAATACATTATTTGTACGTCCGAATGCTGTGGCTGATATAATGAGTAAAAATTTGAATATGAATAAATTGGATTTGCTAACAAAATCGGATCGTAAATCCGGTAATGCAGCAGTACGTATGGCATTGGGTGAAGCACAAATTGTGAATGAAATTAAACAATTTTTGTTAAAAAATCAAGTCCATCTTGAATCATTTGAACGTGGTGTTGATTGTCCTCGTAGTCGTACAACAATTTTGGTAAAAAATTTACCATCCGAAACTCAAGAACAAGAGATCAAGACATTATTTGAAAAATACGGCTTAATTAATCGAGTTATATTACCACCATACGGATTGACAGCTATTGTCGAAATGCAAGAATCGAATGAAGCTAAATTTGCATTCAAAAAATTAGCCTACAGTAATTTTAATCATTATCCATTATATTTAGAATGGGCACCTGAAGATATATTTTCTGGTTCATCAGCTAAATCATCTGATAAATCAATAGATGTGGTGGATGAAAAACCCGAAGAGATTATTATCGAAGATGGTTCAACAATATTTGTTAAAAATCTTAATTTCGATACTACTGAAGAAGATTTTCGCCAATATTTTGAAGATAAAATTGGTCCTGTTCATACGGCCACTATTGCAACGAAAAAAACAGCCAAAGGAATTTTATCCATGGGTTATGGTTTCATTCAATTTTATAAATCCAAAATGGCAAAAGAAGCAATTAAAAAATTACAGAATTCAACATTGGATGGTCATCCAATCGAGATTAAATTATCAAATCGAACTACAACGTCGAAAACGAATCAAACGGCGATGGTAAAAAGCTTTTCTGGTAAAAATCGTTCTGGACAAAAACAAACTGGATCCAAAATTTGTGTCAAAAACATTCCATTCGAAGCTACCGTTGAAGATGTTCGAAAAATTTTCAGGTATTATATCTATTCCTGTCGAAAGATGGCGCTTGTTCACCTATAAACATGTATTTTTTATTCTATTTTTTAATTTTTTTTTTCGTAATTATCAGTTCATTTGGTCAGATTAAATCGGTACGAATACCAAAAAAATTGGCTGGTTCATCACAATATCGTGGTTTTGGTTTTGTTGATTTTGTCACAAAAGAAGATGCTAAGGTAAGTATTGTTAATCAATAACCGGCTCTGTTTTTATTTTTATTTTTTTTTAAAAAAGCGAGCATTCGATGCTCTTTCAGCAAGTACTCATCTTTATGGTCGACCATTGGTACTAGAATGGGCTAAAAATGATACAATAATGAATATTGACAATAATAACGATGATGATGATGATGATGATAATAATTACCGTGACGAAGGTAGACAAATAGGTGCCAAAATGGCCCGATATTTTCAACAAAATTCAAATGGTTAGTTTTTTTTTATTCACATTGTCTATGCATGAATATATATGATTGAATGTATCTCAATTTGACTTGTTTTTTTTCCTCTGATTATTTATGGCGGTTTTTTTCCAATAGTTCTGTGTTGTTGAAAAAAAAATTAGTTTCGGTCCTTACGTGGACCATCAATTTTTTTCCGAATTATTTGAAGTCATCATCATCATCATCATCATCAATAAGAGGCTATGCTGCTTTGATAGACTTTTTTTTGTTCCTTTAAAGACTGATCAACAAAAAAAAATTTTCGCTTTTGTTCTCATTTTTCTTCATCAAATTGATCGATGACTTTGAATTTTGATAATCAAAGGTGAACAACGTGTGTGTGTGTGTCGTGTTTTTTTTGTTCTTAGAGACAAAACAATCCTGAAACACTTATTGGTCAATCGACGAATGTTTCGCGTGTATGTGTGTGTGTGTGTTGTTTGTCTATTGGTTAACATTAATTCAATGTCTCTTTGTTGTTATTATTAAGGACCTAAAAAAATTATTTAGATTTCAATGGTGTTTTGTGGATGATTTTTTTTTCTTTTTTGTTGCCTGCTTTCTTCCAGTCCACATGTTAAAATGGCTCTTGCTTTTTTGATGATGATGATAGATGATGATGATGATGATGATGATGGCATTTCTTTTCTCAATTTTTTTGTTGTTGTTGTTGTTGTTGAAAATTGGATCGGTTCAGAACCTAGATCTATCTATAGCATTTTTTCGTGTGTGTGTGTGTGTGTTTGAATTTGATTCTAGAGTTGAAAAAATTTTTTTTTTCTCATCCTTTTAATTTGTTTCTATTTCACACGTTGTTGTTGTTGTTTGAATTCGAATGTTTTAAGTGGAACTTTTTTTTGTTCACCATAATCAATGGACAAGAATAATAAACGACAACAACAACAACACAGCAATTCTTAACTTGACTTAGATCCGTTTCCTTTTTCTAAAGTCTTGTTGTTGTTGTTGTTTAAAGAAGACAATATAATATTCAAGTCTATTTTGAATGAATTCTTTACATCGCGGTTTTTTATTTCTCTCTCTCTCTCTCTCTCTCTCTCTCTCTCTCTCTCTCTCTCTGTTTTGATCTCAAGTGCAAGAAGAATCCAGAGAAACTAGAGATTTGGGCAATATATATAAAGTATAAAGTCGAGAGAGAGTGTGTGTGTGTGTGTGTTCCATGATGATGATGATGGCAATGTTGACCTGTCATCGACAGATACCGTACATATATAGTTGCATTCAATTTTTGATTCTCAAAAAATCTGTTTGGATCTTTTTTTTCTCCACTATTTCCACTCACTTGAAAATCACTTTTTATTTCGAATCATCATCATCATCACAATGTTTATGTCTGGTATGTGTTTATGTTTATGGTATGATGAATCGATGTGAACATTGAATGCAATAATAAACTACCGATCCAGAAATGGAATTGAATTGAATCGGCAAAAATAAAAAAAAACTTCAAATTACATTCAAGAGTGAAAAAAAAGTTGTCGTTGTTGTTGTTGTTTTGTTCAATATCAGATTTGAAAATAAAAGCTAAACATTCAAGAATTCATTCATTCTGTTTAGCTATTATTTTTTGTTTTGTACAAAATTCTTTATGAATTTCATGTTTACAGGTGTTTAGATTGTCCGATTCTGTTATGTATGAGAAATTGTTTGTACACTCGATTCTTTCATTGTTTTTGTTATTGTTGTCTGGTAGCAGAATAATAATTCTTGTTTTTGTCACAAATTTCTTCCGCATTTGCATTCACAACTATGTTATGTTTTGTATTAGTAGTGTGTTAGTATACCAGATTTTTTTTCTTTGGCCCACATGCTGTGTGTGTGTGTGTAGTACCGATCGAATTTGAAAATGACAAATTGTAATTGGAATTATACACAACAATCCTAAAGACCCCAAATGGATGTTGTTGTTGTTTGAACCCGATTTTTTTCTATATTTGAATCAAGCAAGTGTGTGTGTGTGTTTGTGTGTAATTATGAGTCACACTTTTTTTTGATGTCGTTTATATATGAATCCATGTTGGATACTATACTATTATATGGGTCCCATGTTGTGCTAATTCTTATTGTATATGTTAATGTGTGATGATCGTCATCATCATCATCATCAATTGAGAATTTTTCCCAATCGTTCTGGTTATTGTTGTTGTTGTTGTTATTACAATAACAGAAACAAAAACAAAAAAAAAATGTCAAAATGAGGTATGTTGTGTTTTGGTGTACAACAATCAATACATTGAATTGAATTGAAAACACAATGGACACCTTGGGACAAATTTATTGTTGCTGTTTTTATTATTCTACCTAACCAGAGAAGTTAGTAAGAGAGAGAGAGAGAAAGAATTGAAATTGGAACAAAACATTTGGTGCATTTTTTCATTCAATTCAGGTTTTTTGTTGTTTTTTTTGTATAGTAAATTCTCTGTGTGCGTTGATGGTGTACTGGTCATTGCCCACATCAATTGTTGACATATTGACATCATCATGGAAACATTTATGGCCACAAATCCCTTGTAGGTGTGATTCTCTATGTGTGTGTGTGTGTGTGTGTGTGTGTGCATGTGTGGCCTAATCCTTTTGCCTAAAGCTTGGCAATTGTCGTTTATGATTTATTCTAGCGATCCATTTGAATTTACAATGATGATGATGATGATGATGATGAAAGATTTCCAAAAATAACCTAATGACAGATCTAGATTTAGATTTCAGAATTTTTATTTTATACTTTTCACTTGTCATTGACAGACAGCAGAATTTTTTTATATTATAAATCTCATTTACCATTCAGACAGTCTGTGTGTTTTGGTGCATTTTTTTTCATTTCTATTCTGAAAAAAAATTAAACTGGTTGACTGACTTGAATGACTGGCATTGACATACCATATATGATAATAATATTACCGACAGAATGGACGAGAAAAAAAAATCATGGATTCTGATTTTTTTTTTGCTGCTGATGCTGCTGCTGCTTCTATGGTTTTCATTTTATATCCAATGTATGAATGAAAGAAAAAGAAAAATAATATTTCAGAAACATACATCCAGACAGCAGACACACGTTCATCAGACGAACTGAAAACTGTCAAGATTTACTATAAAGAAGAATGATAAATTTTTTTTTTTTTTTTTTTTTTTTTGGAAGCTTAGTTGGTATATATTATATATGTTTCTGAGGTTTCAGATTCAGAGCCTCATCCCCCGTTTTTGTTATGTAACCCATGAAAAGTAGAAACAAATTCTTCAAATATGATGTAGAGATTTTCTCTTATTCTTGTTTCAAGAATTTTTTTTTTCATTGGATGAAATTCTGCAGGAATTAAGAAGAAGAAAAAAGAAAATTTCGTAGAAAGTACACACAACATTTCTATATCTGATATCGTCATATATGTCAGTCGTTTATATTAAATGTATTATGATGATATTTTACATTTTTCTTCATGTTTAGTTTTCGTCATTCGATTTTTTATTTTCTATGATATGCTGGTTGCCATGTATATATTTGTATTATATGTGATTTAAGATTCTGCTGGTACCGTCGTTGTTGTTGAATCCGATTCCAGGTTTGCTCGATCGTTGTCAGTATTTGGAAATGAAAAATCCAATTCCAGAAATAAATAGAGAAAAAACTTTTTTTTTCATGAAATGATTCCAAAGTATAAAAAAAACGATACCGACAATGACACACACACACACACACAATGATGACGCAACCGATGGAACAAACGAATCAAGCATATAATGAAACAAAGAATCGAGAATCAAAAGTGAGATCATAGATTTCGATGAGACTATAGAGACAGTAATGAAATGCGAGAAAAAAAAATTGCAACAAAACCAAAATGAACCAGAGTATTGAGGACAAAGAGAAAGAGTGAGAGACAATGATGGAAACGAAAAAATCGTGCCTGTCTGAATGTATAGGCTGGTTCTTTTATTTTAGGGCATTATTTTTCTGGGGTTTGATTCGATTCGATTCTATTTATATGCAGATTAACCTCATCATCAACATCATGGTGTATCTAAATATTCTAAACACAATTCTTGGCTTGTGTGATTCGTGTATATTTTTTTGTTTCTCTTGGCTACTGGAAAAGAATTTGAATTTGTATCATGTTTTTCTTTTTTTTTTGAATATGGAAAATAAAATTCTTTGCAAAATTATTCTGTGTGTACATGATGTCACCTGCTTCAATTGCCGTTATCATTTTTGATCAAATTCAAATCATCCTCGTTTATCAATGATCCATGATGATGATCATCGATTTTTTTTTTTTTTTTTTTTGAAAGAATCGGCTAGTTTTTTGTGAATCACCAAAATACGATAAAAAAAGAAAAAAATTTTACGAAACAATAGACTGATTTTTTCATCATCATCATCATTCTAGTCTGCCGTTTTGAATTAGTTTTTTGTTTTGTTTTGTTTTGTTTCCAATGGATTTAGACTATTGAAGTTGACTATTCTCTTTCACTTTTTGTATGTGTCATTGTCTAAAAAAAATGAGAGAGAGAGAAAGAGAATAGAAAAGAATCTGGTTCGGTCCATTGCCGTATCGTTTCCTATTGAATGGCACAAGTGTGCACATTGTATGAAGAATATTGTGTATAGAGAGAGAGAGAGAGAATCTCACGAGAATTTTATTAAGGGGATAGGAATTTCTATTCATAAAACACACACACACACACACAAAAACAATGTAAAGTATAGGAAATTCATTCAACTATAGCTATTGTCCAAATCTGAATTTGGTTTTGATTTTTTTTTCTTTCTTTCTTTTTTTGTTGTTGTCATTGGATTTCAGTGTCGGCGTGTGTGTGTGTGTGTGTGTGTGTGTGTGTGTGTGTGTGTCGGTGTTTGAGAAGATATACAATAAATTTAAATATATTTAATGTCACATTAACTTTTTTTTTCTATATTCCCAATCTTTTTGTTGTTGTTTTTTGTTGGATTCTGTAGGCTTTTTTTTGTT